GATAATTCGAATGATTAAAATCATCGTAACCACTAGACTCCTTCGAGAGAGTAAAAGACAAGAACCGATTATGAGAGGCACTCTACATCGTTCCAACTATGTATTCGTTTACTATCGTAGCGCGATAAGAGGTTTGCATTAATCAAGCAAAGCTAGTGAGAGAGAGAGAGAGAGATAAGCCAGAGTAGCCAGATGCCAGAGGGAGCAAGTTTATTGTCTCGTGCAGATCGGGAGGGAGGCGCAGTCGATCGGTCGATCTCGTGGCGAGCGAGACACGTTGCGTTTAGTGTGTCGTGCATCAGCGATCGTCGATCAGCGACGGCGCAACGATGCCTTAGTTCGCGATGTCGGGCGATATCGCTCGATTCGAGAGAAAAAAAACGCTAGTCTCGGATGCTGTCTCCAGGTTGCAAGGTAACATTTTTCGCGTCTCCAGTGCATTTGTACATACTGTTCTTTATTTTTATGAGATAAGTGAGGATATATCTACTATGTGTCCAGTGTACCTTTTTCTATTCTTCTCTCCTTCTCTCTGTCTTTATTTTCGTCAATTAATTTAATTGAATTTCTTCATTTTAATTGCAAATTTTTAGCGTTTACAGTGCGTCTCTGTTTTGTTGCATTTCTAACTGAATAAAAATACTTCTATTTATCTGTCCAGTATGTTCTTTTATTCTAATTTTCTCTCTCTTTTGTTTCGTGTCAATTTTAATAATAACTCCCAAGTATTCAATGTATAATACCTTAATTTTTCTTCGTTTCTGCTTCCTAACGCGTTATCGATCGAACGTGTCCACACTTGAGTAAATATTTCTAGAAAGATTGGCGAAGAAGAATTCTGTCTGACGAGGACTAATAGCATAGGAAATTTGAAACAGTGTTTTTTTTTTTTTATACGTATCGTCTGATAGTAACTGAGAAATGAAATTTTTCTAAAATTGCACGTGGAAATGAAATGTCGTTTACTGTGAATAATATAGTGAAAAATAATTAGCAATACGTTAATAATTGTCACTTCGTGCTCAGTGTGTTTCTTTTTTCGATTATTCTTTATTTGCTCATCGATAAAATAACATTTCGACGCGGCCAGTGTATTTTCGCGTTCGCACTTTCGTTCCTTTCTTACATTTAACTCTATTTTTATGCATTTACACGCAAACGATAATACTTCCACGCGTTCACTTTCTTATCGTTGCATTCTTATTTCTATTTTATCAATTATTCATACCTACGCAGTGTACTTTTTATTTTTTCGCCGTTTCTGTTCGCTTGCGTTTTCCTGTTTTATATTTCACTTATGTTCTTCGACGGGAACAACACTAAGTACGATATTTTTCATACAAGAAACATGTGTTCATGGTGAACAAGAATGATAACTGCACGAGTGACCTTCGTGTAATGTGACGTTTCATTATTCTCAGAATCTTGCTCTCTGTTCCGTAATTCGAATCGATCTATTCGATCTTACAATCGATTAATATGAAACACATGTGAAGGACAATAGTTGTGTGAATTTAAGTGACACACAGTGACGTTCGAAAGCATCAATATTCAGTAGTAATTAAATTGTATCATTGCACTTCAGTCAGAATGCTATGAATTATGTATTATGAATTATGAATTAAAAATTGCAATAGAAAGTGTCATGGGAGGCAGGATTAGCCTAAAGTGTTAATACGAGAGTTAATACGAAACATAATGGTGTTAATGGTTAGCATAAAGCATTCTCATTGCATTATTGAACTTTTTGCTACATTTTGTTTAATTTGTTCAATTTTTATTCAATTTAAATTAATATCTCATACGTTTGCATTACACTATAATTATTTTGAAATATTACTTTTGATTTTTAAATAAACTCCAATTATTTCTGAATAATTGTACTATTCTCGTGAGTACGCATATGCACCATTTATGTCAAAATTATTATATTGATAATTGTTCGAGGAATTTATTTTGTATCAGCAATTAGTTGAGAAATTGAAATAGCATTTATTTTATACAACAATTACTTGAGAAATTGAAATAACTTTTATTTTATAAATGACTATACTGAATTGTGATAGACATAGGATGAAAGGGTTAAAGTTTGGAAGAACTACAAGAAGATACATATATAGGAGTGTATGTGACTCGATGTGAGGCAACGGGTTAATTAAATAGGTCTTTGTTACGGCATCGTTTCACCGGCACTATACTCACTATATTCTTTCTATATTTCATTTCTACGGGAAAATCTAGTGAAAAATATATCCTATTTAATCTAATGAAAATTTCTACTATGCTAAACACCTGGTCATATAAATAGCCTAAACGAACAATCTCGAAGAACTTGAATTAACTTGAAGAAAAAAATGGTTAAATATTGATACATTTATCGAGGTGAAAATAAGCACGTAAAAGCTGAAAAAACAACAAAAATATTGTACACTAGAAAAATGGAAAGAAAGGAAGAAGAAACAGGAGAACTAGGAGGAATTTTAATTTGCACATTTTGCGACATCAGGGAAGTTTCTGAAGAAATGACAAATAAGATACATATGTCATTTGATAAGACAAAGGCGATCAGCTATTTGATTAAAATTATAAGGAAAATTCTCGATGAAATTTCAACGCATCGATAACAAAACCAGAGAGGTGAATAGTCAGCTGATGAGTCAAAGGTGTTTCACAAAGAACAAAGAAACACGTCGAAAGCGGCGTAAACTGGTAGCAGGTTGAAGTACACACACGGTGTGTCGAGTGGAACAATTTATAAGAAAGAAAAGCTTCGAGAGAGACGGCGGTTCGTTCGCTTTTGTTGAATCGTTGAAGACGCGTTCGAGGAACGTTTTTATTCTTGGAACGCGAACGTCTGCATCCCGAGGTGGCGCGGGGCTGACTTTCACGTCAGCCTATACGCTCTTTCTGTCTTGTTCCCTCTTGTTTTCCCACCGCCTGTCTTTCTACTCTGGTTCTCTTCTTTTTTCCTTTTTACGACTAACCGCGTTATTTTCTTGTTTGTTCCGCAGGCACCAAGCAAACGGCGGAAAGCGTCGCGCAAGATGCCGTCGACCAAACAGGTATTCCTCGTGTTTTGATGGATCATTGCACAGAGAGATGAACTGATTCTTCCTTTTTTTCTTCTTTATGATGTTTTACAAATCTTCCATGAAATTTTTTATACAGAGGGATTTTAATTTGCACTTTTTTGAGAAATTGGGGTTAGTTTCCGAAGAAATGAGAATTTGATTAGACCGAAGATGATTTGTTCCTGGAGTTAGTAGAACTGCTGATTTTGACAACGAGTACTTTGAAAATTGTAAAATAAATTTCCTAAATTTTTCTAAACTTAAGAGAGAGAGAGAATTAGTGTTAGATTTACACAGAATTCTGCGAAAACATTCTGCGTCTAACTTTTCAATTGCACAGAACTCTTGTTTCAAGTACAGTAACATGATCTGTTGACTCGAATATTGGCACAGAGGAGTTACGGTAGCCGAGAAGAAGATACGAATACATTTGGCTGGAGTAATTAAACTCCGTGGATATAATCGTCTGGAGTGATTGAAAGATTAACGTGGTACATAAATAGTATCTTTATGTTTCTCTCAAGTACATAAGTGTGATCTTCAGACTATTTTCAAAAATTTATTTTAACGGTATCATACCTTAATAGCGTGTATAAAAAAGGAAATAACGAAACGTTAAACATACCGAATTTACGAAAAAGAAAAACAAGTATTAAATGAAGAAATCAATCATTGGAGGCTCTAAGCAAGTTTTAAAATTATTCACAAATTCGGAAAGTTTTTCTTGAAAAATTTTCAAGTGAAATTATAACAATTGCTTTTGAATGTCTTTATCAGCACAATTCTACTGATTTATCAATTTTTTAATTCAAAATATATCCATATCTATTTAAATTGAATTACTTCATCTCTAAGTTAATTTTTTATCTTTCGTTCACATAAATCTGCAGAAAAGTCATGCGCAGATTTCAAATAAATAAGCCACGAAGAATTCTAACTTTCCACTGTTGGAATCTTTCCACAGGATTTGGCAAGTTTAACCTTAAGGTTATGGCCATCTGCAGTCTGATCTTCATGAACGTGGCGTTCAGTATAACAAGCATTGGATTTGTACTGCCTTCTGCAGCATGCGACTTCCAGATGACCACGGTGGACAAGGGGCGCCTGAGTGCCGCCCCTATGCTAGGTAACACTCCGCTAATCAGCGTCTTAATTAATTAATTACGTTCATTGATCACCTTCCTTTTTGAACACTAATAAACTCTTATTTAAAATAACATATGTATAAAACTTCTCGACTTTTATTTTATCCGTTACAATTTTTTTTTTTTTTTCATTCATTTTAAGCTAAAATTTGAGATTGAATAATTTAATATGTGGTGCCATATTTGACGCCATTTTAATTCATATCGTAAAATGATATAAACTTCTTTTGTATTATACGGTTCTTGATAAAAATATTTTTTGAAATATTTTATAGAGAAAAGTAAGTTGAAAATTATAACGTATCATTTTATGTATCTTAAGTGAATATGTCTTACAAACATCGCGGTGAATATTCTGTAGAACTTACCAGAGGAATTCGAATTTCTCGCGTGCCTTACTATGGCTTGTACACGCCCCTGAATCATACTAACTTCTACTATTATGCTAACTACACGCAGTATGTATTTTGCAAGACAGGACAACGAACCACGTTCCTTTCGAATTACATAAAGATCCTCGTGAAATTGCTAATTATTTTCCACTTATATAAACATTCTCGACTTTCCTTACTCGAAACTCAACAACCCTAACTCATAGTCATACATCAAATATTTTCTCCTCGAATCAATATCAAATATCAAACAACGTGAAATATTTTATCATGAATATTTCATCAAATATTCACGTTCATTGTTGTTCATTTTTCCATGGTATGCTAATTGCATAAATGGTAATTCTTTTCACCTGCTTGGATAAAGAAAGGCCAGAGGAAAATTCTTCTGCATCGGTGCACTTTAAACGAAATGCGACATAAATTAGATGAATCGCGCTGTGCCAAAAACAGGGACGTACATTTATACCGTTACAGTGTCCATATATGGTTTCAATTTTATCAATAATTTCATTTCGAAAGTCGAACTTGAACGTAATTGGATTTTATTGGATTTTTACTTCCGCGACACTTTCACAAGACTTGAAACGAAGCAGACTTTCTTTTGCATTAACTATTTAATAAACGTGTTATTTGCAACTTTAATCCGCTTTTCTCCTACGTTTATTTTCTTTTTCATATTATTCTCTGCTCTTTATAACGACAGGTACTGTATTAATTGAAAAAATTATTATTGAAATAAAAATATATTAAATGTTCAATTAATTAATTGAACACGTGTCCCCACCAATTGTGCAACACCTAACGTATGCATGAAAGCTGCAACGAGGGACACGATTAAATACATATTGCAATCGAACAGACGACACCACTCGAATAATCAAACCTTGAAAGTACATATAATATTACGTCAGGACACGACTATTCTCTCCCTTAACATTTCTAAACTGTTAAATAAATTGCTTCAGGTTGTAAAAAATTTAGAATTATGATCATCAGATGAATAATGAAACATGCAGATATGACTGTTAGATACATTTTACGTTGTATACAACATCCATACGATTTACTAGCGATTACAAGCGAGCATCTTAAATGTCAAGATTCCAATGCATTATTTCGCAAGAGGTTCGACTTGTTTTCCACGTGTAAATATTCTATGCTTATACACTCGCGCCGGTGAATATTAGAATAACTTAGTAAATACGAAGCAAACTTAAACACTTATTACAAAATTATTAAGATCAGAAAAGAAGAAATTATATCATCAATAATTATCAGCGATTTTATGGATTTTTTCAAATAGGCATGTTAGCCGGTTCTTATATCTGGGGCTGTTACGCGGCCATCAAAGGACGCAGGATATCCTTACTGACGGCGCTGTTTCTACACGGTGTCTCAGAATTACTGGCGTCAATGGTACCTCTCTATTGGGTATTCTTGTTTTTGAAATTTCTAAGCGGTGCAGCGTTAGTATAATGATTTCATTTCAACCAATATCGAATATTCTTTCGAGGTAAATTATTTTTTTACTATGGAAAATGTATATTCTTTTAGTATGAATGGACAGTCGGCGGTCGTTTTTATGTATCTGGGTGAATTTCAGCCGACCAAGTATCGTGATAAAATGCTGTCGTGGATGGAAATGGCTTGGGTGGTCGGAATGATCATTCTGGCAGGTGGGTATTAAGGAAACAAAATCAATCGAAATATTTATTCATAGAAATGATACTTTTAATTTTCGTGAGACAAGAGTAGATGAATTTCTTTTTATTTTCTGCATCTTCAATATTTTCCCTCGTTTGTGTTTTTATCTTTTTTTCCATAAATTAATTGCTTTAAGTTAATGGAAGTTGTTTAATGTAATGTGTTATTTGAAAAATTACAGGAGTCGGTTGGATCATTATTCCACTGCACGTGAACATCCAGAGTGGCAGTTTCTTTTTACACTCGTGGAACCTTTTCGTCTTCATATGTTCACTTCCAGCCCTGTTGACCGGAACGTGGCTGTTATTCTTCCCTGAAACGCCTAAGTATCTAGCTGAAAGCGGGCATAACGTCGAAATGCTCGACGTTCTGATGAGAATGTACTCAGAAAATAGCGGAGAACCTCCAAAAGAATATATAGTGAGTAATCACCTTCCGGCAATTACTATTCTCTAAGCTTTAAAGGATAAAAAACAATATCTTTGATAACGGGAAAAGTCTATTTTCAAATTCGACAGCCTATACAAACACCTATTTCTTTTATTATTATGAAACAGTGTTAAATTTCAAAAACATGAAATTGTCTAGAATAAACAAAATGAAATTACGAATGGATTAATAATAGGGTTCTGAAATATTTTGATTATTTGAATTTCGTTCACTTGGATTAATTACAAATGTTTAACGAAAAATATTTTCAGACGAAACTTCGAAACTGCGGGAATAATAATCTGAACGATTTGGTGCATCGAATAATGCACACCAGAGATGGAGCGGAAGTGACGGAGAGGTCCTTTCAAGTGATGATAAAAGATATATACACGAAGACCATGATGATACTGAGGCCACCGTTTCTCTGCAGAACGATCGTCGTCTGTTTGATCGCCTGTTTCGTCACGTCCTCTTATTACACGCTAACATTGTGGCTGCCAGAGCTGTTTCATAGATATGCGGACTTTCAGGAGGCGTATCCTAATCAGACGGCTAGCGTGTGCACATTGAAGGGCGTGAAAAATGCCACGGCCATTGTAAGTGATCGCATATCGAATGGAAACAAGCTAATTTCTTTTAGGTTTTCTCTTTATTCAATTTTGTTAATGTATAGAGAGTTTCAAAAAATGTTAACACTTACATGGAGAATTTTTATTTACATAAGCATGAAACACGAAAAAATCGGGATTAGTAATAAGTGTTAAATTGTTCTTAATCTACCAAATTTTTACAGGACTCAGACGATCCATACGGCTGCAACTCGAAAGTACAAACCAGCGTGTTCGTGCATACGTTTATATTGGGAGCCTCGTGTATTCCTGCGGGCATAATATTGCCATTGCTAGTTAATTATTTAGGATACAAATTCTTCCTCGGTGAGTTAAAAAGAGTTCCTTTTTAGAACGTCAAACGTTATAAAATTGCAATTCGTTTTACTTCAGTTTCCTAATTATGTTAACCCTAGTGCGTTCTTCGTTTTGACTGTACACTTAAGACTTTTGGGTGAAAAGGGACCTAAGACATTATGTGTAATAATTTTTGTTTCTAACGCGACATATGAACCTAGACAATAAACGTTTAAAATAACGTTAAGGAACGTAAACTTGATAACAGCAAAAATGACTAAAAATATAAAAAAGGCGGTGGGTCAAAAAAGACCCGAAGACCGCTCTAGGGTTAATCACATTTCACTCTTTTTAAATAAAAATTATTTCATTAAATTAAAATTATTTCATGTTCCTTGTAACCAATGTATAAATTATAAATTTGTATTAAGAAAGAAAATCTAAAGAAAAGAGTAGAAACAGTGATAAAGAATTTTGAAAAATTGATAATAAATTAATGAGAGAAAGATATGATTGATAATTGTTATTACTGGAGAAAATATTGTCTCTGGGGAAATATTGAACAATTTTGTCTGGTGTTTCAGTGATAACAGCCTTCATTCCCGCTATCGTGACGGCTTGTCTCTTCCTGGTGCAAACGTCCACTCAAAACTTGATACTCTCATGCGTCTATGAGTCTGTCACATCCGTTTGCCTAAGCGTTGTATACTGCCTTTTAGTTGATCTCTATCCAACGCATTTAAGGTAATTACATTCACCCATAAACCGTTAAAAAAGATAATGAAATTATCATTAATTTTCCCACAATTGCAAAATTGAGTTAAAATTTTTCCAGAAAATTTTCTAATTCAATCGAAATTAACGTTGTCTTTCCTATTAAAAATTAAATAAAAATTAGTTTATTTCTTCTATTCTAAAATTGAGTAAAAAATAGCTGTGCCATTTCTATTCCAAAAATCTTTGAATTTCATCAAAAGTTCCTAAATTCTTTTTAGTAAAGGACAACAAATATTTAAATTCAATTATCGGAAAAATTTCATCACTATCTCCCCTTCTCTTAAAGAAAACAGATTACCCTGACCATAAATAAAAGGCCATCACGGTGGAACAAACATTGTGTAGTCAATAAAACAGTATTTCCGCTGATATAATTCACAAAAATAGTAACGAGACGCTTTCGAGGAGTTAAATGGCCAACGAAACGATAAAATCGCTTTAAGTAGATGAGCTGCGTAATATATTTCACCTGGTGTAATGTTTAAATCGTTTAATCTCGATCGTAAACGAAAGTTTTTTATTTCAACATGTATTTTCGATTAAGATACATACTCGAGAACGAAGAGAAATTCGACGAATCATTCCTCCTACGAGTTTTTTCACTCCCAAAATTTTCTCACTCGTTTATTAGGTACTGTATGTCAACAGAAGCTTATCGGAGTCTCTTTATCGATCGTTATAAATATCCACGTGCAATAAAATGCTTATTTTCTCCATGTGCTGACTGGTTATTTATAATCGAACCGATTATCTTCTACCACGGTCGAACATTTACACGGATCTCTGTTGATCTTGAAATATTCCTCTTGATTGAGCCTTTCAATGTTCATGATAAAATTCTTGTCCCGTTATATTATTAGTACTGTTATTGTAACGGAGGGGTCATTATCGATGAAAGGCCGTATCAAGATCTGTTATCACGACAGAAATGCGTTTCCAGTGGAATTTCCAAAGTTAATCAATCTTCTTTTTATGAGTCAATTCAGCTATAATTAAAGAGAATTTTACTTTATTGCATAATTCTTGAAATCTTTAACCCTGCGAAATTTTCACGATCAGCGCATTGACATCATTATACAGTAAATTCTCCACAAGTGTCAGTCCGCAAGGAACCTAAACCTGACACTGGTAGAGTCAGGGATTACGTTTTCGAGACTCGCGCCCGCCTTTGTAGTTTGCCGAACGTAGACAAGGACAGCGAATAAAAGATAAGGATGAAACGTGAGTCGAGGCAACCAAGCGATTTAAATACCAACTTTTTTAATTTTACGTTTTTTTATCCCGAAATTTTTCTTAACATATTGATGAGATTTTTCTGATGAAAATGACATGAAACACGACATAATTTGAACAACATTTACTTATTAACACGTTCACTGTCTGGCGTGAATGTTGTTCAAATTATATCGTGTTTGATATCATTTTCATCAGAAAAATCTCACCAACATGTTAAAAAAAATTGGTGTAGCGTTACACGCCTGACTGACAGCAAGCGAGATAACATAGGCGCAGCAATGACGCAGCCTAGGCGTAGGACCATCTGTACTGACACTTGTAGAATCCAAACTGACTGACACTTGTAGAGAATTTACTGTAGTTGAATAGTAAAATAGAAATTTATAGAATTCGTCACATTTTTCTCACAAATTATTTTAACTATAGCCAAAAATCTTTAATTCAATACTATCGTTATATTATTATTAAAATATTAAATTTGAATTTCTATTTTTCGTGGAATTTCCAAGATTCCAAGATTTCACGTTCCTTTCCCTTAAATTACCTCAACTATAATGTCTAATCTTCAGAATTAATCACAGTTAATGTTATTATCACAAAGAAATATCGATTTTAAAAATCTCGAACGCAAAAGTTTCCACTGAAATTTCCAAAATTTTTAGCTCTCCTTTATATTACAAATCAACTTGTCAAGAGTTTCAAATTGTTTCGTTTAATAATAGTGGAGAATCTTTAAAATTCGATCGAAGTCCATTGGATCGTTTAATTTTCATGTTTTCTTTCTTTCCTCAGAGCAATGGCGTCTGGTTTGTCCGCATTCATCAGTCGAATAGGCGCAATTAGCGGTACACTGATGATCGGATACTTAATCGACGATTACTGTACATTGGTAATCGTGATCGTGGCGGCTCAATTATTTTGTACGTATACAAATTTCTTCTTATCTGTTTTTTCATTAGGTTTTTGACTTATCTTGATGGTAGATGTTTTGGTACGATGTAGCTTATCGTGTTAGAATAGCGATAACGTCACGATAGTTTCATCTAATAGAAGTTGTTAAGAGTCTGTTCAAACTGATATTATTTCCTTGTAATTTTGGTATAATTGAACATTTGTAAATATCCTCGCGAAGATATTTAACAATTCACTTGTCACGATGATTCATAAAATTATTCGAATTTACTTTACTCTCAGTCACTTCTGTGTACGATTTTAAAAGTTTGGTGCGAAAATTGGTGACATTCAATTTTTTCAAATTTTACCGACTGAAGAAGAATGCGTTACTTTCCAACGAGAAAACATATAAAGAAAACTTGAATATATTATTTTAATTAACTTTATATTTACATAAAAGTATTAAGAAAAATGATTTTTGAAAAGTCTTCATTTTTTCTTGCACCAAAATCTTCAAAAATTTTTCCGTCGAACATTTATGAATTAAGTAGAAATATATTTTCTGTGTTACAGTGAGTGGTTTGCTCGCTCTGTTCACCCCAGGGAGGAACTCGGCGAAGGCAGACATCGAGAAATCTTAACGAAAGTACAGATTAATATAATATTGAGAATATCAGAGAGAAGTAAAGCAAAAGGTTTCGAAAAAGAATTCTAAACTTTAGCCTAATGTAAATGCATTTCACTCGAAGGCGAGGAACGTGTAGGTACTTATACATCGTAAACGAATCTAATTGAGCTCGAAGTAATTAGAGGATCTCTTAGTTAAATAAATTAGATAAAAATGCACGAAATATTTCATTAAAATTTCTCTCTAGTTTTCGATTGCACAAAAAGAATGTATAAGAAGAAGAAGAAAATATTCAATCTAACATGGAATTACTAATTTTGCTGTACAGTAGAAAAGTTTTGTATACAAAGGGTTAAACAGTTGACAGTATTTTTTCACTTTTCAAATTTCACTCATTTCACCTGAAATTTTTCATATCTTCTAATCTTCCAATTAAAAGTACTTATTAAACACAAAATGCTTCCAAGATTTTCAACTCGAACAATCGTTCTGCTTTTAAAAATTACAGAGGAAATATTCTCCAATTTACAGTATTTGAACTTTCTTTCTTTTTCTTAACTTTTCATTGAATTATTAAAGAAGCACGATCTTCTAATTACCATAGAGTCTAATGCCTGTGTACTTTCCGCATACTAATGCAGAAACACGTATTTAAACTCGGTCGATATTAACGTTGTGTACATTTTGTTGTATATACATTGCGAGCATTAGTTCTTTAAGAGGATGCGTGGTATAATTAATCGAATGCGTCTTGTAAGAAGAGGGTGCTATTGCTCTTATACACGGTGTCTCAGAATCTTTCCACCAGAATAAATAAATAATTCAAAAATTGTTATAAAAAATGTAAATGAAGTTCGGCAAAAATTCTGGTACACCGAGTATACGTGTTAATTAGAATCTGTTATACATGCAATTATATTGAGCGACGCACAGAATCTTCAGGAATACTCGACACCGATTATCGACAACGAAAGTACGTATTTTTCTACATTTCTAAAATTCTATGAAATTCGTCAAAAGTGAGATATAAAAAGATTTTGCGTACTTGTTTAAGAAATTTAAGAATTCGATCTTACTTATTTTCGAATCTTTATAATTTTCTGTACTTCAATCCATTCGTTATATCAAAAAGAAGAATACAGTTTAATAGTATGCATTTCGTTGTTTTTTTTCCTCTTTTCTGTCTGTTTCGTTAAATTAGAATGTAGATGTATGCAACGAGAAGAGCTTGAAATAAATAGATTAATATATAAATACATATATGTATATTTAGTACTTAATCGTGTTAAGAAGAAGCCAGAAAGGAAGTTAATGCTCAATTAAACAATTATCGCGACGATCTCCTGACCATTGTTCACGTAGTTACAATTTTGTGTACGGTAATACGGAGGTTGAAGCTGATCGACCAGCCTCGACAAATAAAGCGAAATTGAAACGTGACGGAGATGCGATCGTCGCGTTTTATTCTTCTATTTTTCTATTGTATGTATGTACGAGACTGTTTATATTGTAGACTGTTTATACGACGGCCATCGAAGGACAATAAAAATTCTGTTCTTATTGAATTAATCGATCCATTTCATTAACCTCGAAATTATCTTCTTGTCGGTTGAAAAACATTAAACATTACATTTCGAGCAAATTATCTTTAAGAAATTTGTCAAATTTATAGAATTTGTAGAAAACTTATTTTCCAAGTCTGAAGGTTACCGAATTATGAAAAACAGAAATTCTTTTTAGCTTCTATTTTAATTGAATTTTCTAATGATACGACGAATAAGACTCTGTACAAATTCTTCGTGCTTGACATTAAGAATAAATGTTGGGGTTCAAGGTATACGATGTTTTCAGCATCGTCCTCCAAAGATGAAATAAATTTTCCACGCGGCGTTCACCTTCCAAACATTGCGTGCTTCTATTTTTATCAATTTGTAAATACGTACTCTTCAATATTCTGTCAAAGCATGAACGAGAAGTTGCTCTAGGGTTGGAGCTTTCTTGAATAACGTAATGTCTATAGTATCGATCAAAGAATATACCTTTTATCTCATAAAATGCACTGTACCTATAAATTCAAGAATCCTTTTAATTACTCCAATAATTCTCGTATCAAAACTATTTACATTTTCCACAAGAAATCTTCTAAAATACACCATGAAAATGCAGCAAACTTTTAATCGTAACAATCGAACAAAAATTCTACCAAATAATTTCTCCACTCGTCTGAAGATCCTCTCCTCGTCACACGTTCAAAACAGCAAAATGTAACAAATTTTCAATCATAACAATCCAACAAAAATACTCCCAAATAATTTCTCCTCTTATATGAAAATTCTCTTCCCTCGCGTTTCTCCTTATCACATGTCCAAAATATAAAAACTACACGAAATATGTTAATCCTAACAAATTCAACCAAAAATTCTCCCACATAATTTTTCCAATTGCCTGAAAATCCTCTCCTCGTCACACATCCAAAGGGGAAAAGGAATGCAACAAATTTTTAATCCTAACAATTCAACCAAAAATTCTCCCAAATAATTTCTCCACTTGCAGGAAAATCCTCTCCCCTCACGTTTCTCCTTATCACGGGACGAAAACGCCACTCAGTCACAAAATTCCCCACCCTCTCAAGGCGAAAAGCGCCCGCGTCTATATTAACCCGAGCAGAACGCACGTTATAGCACGATTGGGCATCGACTCGATCCCAGACACGAATCGAGACGGTGTGCAGTGTCTCGTGTTAGCGCGGCAAGACTGTCGTGCCCTCGATTCAGCTATAAGACGAAGAACGAGCGTCCTCATCGAGTGGTCTCCATACACAAACACACTAACACATACAAATGTACACGTGTTCTTCAGTTCATTCGACGACGTTTGGCTGGCAAAATTAAATAGTCCTTCGCCGTGACTTACAATTCTAATTAAGGCGTCGCGACGACACCTCGGTCCATCAGCGAATTATTCCCTTGTCATTGCCCCCTAGTGGTGAATTTTCACCACTTATTTCATCGAAATAAATTCCTATCGATCGTTGTTCGATTTTAAGAAAAAACTCTGATTCGGTAATAAGTTTGGACGAATCGAAATCTTACGAATGAGCAGATCGAAGAGACTTCTCAATCGACAGGAGTCCAGGATCGGGGTAAATGTGTTTAGATCGGTAAGAGATCGCTACATGAGGATTTCTTTTGGACTTGCACACGATCAGAATAATTTTTTTTATCTCTAATCACACGAGTTGGTTGATCGATCCTTCTTTTTTTTTTTTTTATCTCTTTTTTTTTTTTTTTTAATTTTTTTCACTACATAATACTTGGCACTTTTTGTTGTTTACACTAATATATGTACTACTGGTAGTCGAATATTGCTTACAAATTTTGTTACTTTGTTAATGTAATTATAGATTGGATTAACACACTAGACACTGCACAAGTTTTTGTATATTCTGTTGTACAGTATGTAATAAAAATTCCTAGTTTTTGGGATTAATTGTTTATCGTGGTGAAATGGAAGACTGTAGAAGAGACTTTTACTAATTCAAATATATTTGTATAAAGTTTTTTACACTTAAAAGAAACTCCAGTATGCAAATCGAACGTTTTTTTTTTTTTGCAATCTGAGTCAGGAAACGTTTGTTAGATATTGTAGGATATATCTATATTACAAATTATCCAATTACTATAAATTACACCATATCATCCATATCTAAATTACACGTTAAACATTCGAATTTTCAAAAATTTATCTCAGCAGTAATTTACCATGACATGCCTCTATTTCACATTTCTCTAATAAACTTCGTCACCAGAATAATCACTACCATATACCATCCAGTACAATCAATCCACGATGTGTCAAGGAATATTTGCCATTAATATCACTTCCATTCATTCGAAATGAATTACACGTGGACAATATACTTTGTATTCTTAGCAATATTTCGCGCGATTTGTTAATCTGTTCAGTATTGTTGCCATTCGGCACCATCTGCGTTGTGAAATTGGACCGCGGCCATTTTCCGGAAATCCTCCGTGTCCTTCCATCCACCTAACCTCTCTCCGTAAATAATCCCGCGAATGAAAGCAATTAATTCCCTCCTTTTGTTATTTACTATTCTGGTGAAAATAAAGAAGTAGCGTGATCGTTGATAATAATCGCGGCTGCGTCGCACCGATGACGGAAATATTGGGACGGCGATCGAAAATTTGGCGCAAATCCACCGACGCGACGGCTTCGATCGCGTGCCAACACACGCCGCGCTCACGATATACGAACTTAAGGAAAATTACTTGGTCTACCCTGTGTCGATCCGCGATTTACACTCTTAGTTTCGTTTTATACACGTCGCGATCATTACTTCTTCGCTCGGTACAAATTCTCTTTTTCTTTTTCTCTTCCCGCACACGAAGCTTCTTCAAACGATCGATCGAGCGAGCGACGTGGTTCGTCGCAACATCGGAAAACAATACGACGATTGCCTTGGTAACTAATTTTACCTAACCAGTTATATGTGACTTTTACGAGTTCCGTTTGTGTGTTGTTTTCATCCTTTAACCGGTTATTTCCGGGTTTAAAAGTTTCCTTTGTTTTTACAGCCAATTTATTACTTACTTATAGAATAAATGTGAATTACGGGCTAATATATTTGTCATTAAATATGTTTTTCATAATAATATAAATAATACGTATCGTGGGTATACTAGTGAAACGTACTCAGAAGGAACATGAAAATTACCCCTTTACATACTGGTAACACACATTCAATTATAATAAAAAAAATAAAGATTTTTTTAAAAATTTCTAT